CAGTAAAATAAATCTAAATATTTATTAAAACCAGCTGATATAAAATGTTCTTTCAATTCTGCCAAATCTGAATGAACAGCAGAGCTTTTATTCTGGAAAAACCACTGTTAACAGCTAACTATCAACGCTGCTGCCACCTGCTGGTGATCGTAGATATTACAAGTAAACCAACAAGTTAAGTCACTTCTTTTGTTTCTAAGAATTTTGGCGAATAATAATAATAATAATAATAATATTAGTAATGATGATGATAATAATACTAGTAGTAATAATAGTAATAGTAATAATTGTAATAATAATATAGTAATAATAGTTACAATAATAATAGTACCGTAATTTCAGGACTATAGAGCCACCAACAAAAAAATAAGGTTTTCTACACACACACCGCACTCGAATACAAGCCGCGGCGCAGCAGCCACATGCAGGTCTCCGGCCCACAGCGCATGTACGGCCATAACATAAGATAAGCAGAAAGACGCTACACGGAGTTTTTCCGTTGTTGTTTTAATTCAACAAAACAAATTTTAAACACGGGTGCACATGCGTCCAAGTTTAGAAAAGAAAACAGCGCTGATAGCATTCATATTTCTGGATGGTTATAAGATAACAGAACTGACACGTTATTACCGGTAAGTTGCATGTTTAGAAGAAAAGAACAGCGCTGACACAGCATTAATAAGCCCTGGATGATTAGAAAATAAAACCTGCACACAAAACTTGCCTGGTTAGTAAATAAAACACACTTGCCTACCAGAAGAAGTCATTCACTCTCATCTTCCTCTTGCACACTAAAGCCATTAAAGTCCTCTTCTTCAGTGTCGGAGTTGAACAGCCTCAGAAGAGCTTCGTCACACACCTTTTCTGTGGCGCTGTCCGTGTCGCTCTCCGTGTTGCTGTCATCATCCCCGGGTGAAGCTGGCCTGAATGAGTTCTTCCCGCTGCCGTCTCCAGCGTCGAACCACGGATTCATTCATGCCAAGCTGACGTGCGGCAGCACTGTTTCCCTCCTTTACTGCCAGATCGATGGCCTTCAACTTAAAAGCGGCATCATATGAACTCATACGTGTAGTTACCATGATGAGGGGGTATGGATTAAAACAAATTCGTCGTCGTGCCGGCTGCTTGCATGTGCTAAATAAAAATGAGCACTTTCTTCGATTTCCACTTTTGACTTCCACCTGTTACACTTTCTGCTAAAGCGCCCCCTGCAGGTGAAGGAAAACCTTCAGTAAAGCCGCGCCTCATTATAAGCTGCATGGTTCAAAGCGTGGGGAAAAAAGTAGCGGCTTATAGTCCGAAAAATACGGTAATAATAATATTAGTAATAATATCAATAATAATAATAATAATAGTAATAATAGTGACAATAATAATAATAACAATAATAATAGTAATAATAATAATAGTAATAGTAATAATAGTGACAATAATAATAGTAATAATAATAGTAATAGTAATAATAGTAACAATGATAATTGTAATACCGGTAATAGTAACAATAATAATAGTAATAATATAATAATAATAGTAATAGTAATAATAGTAACAATAATAATAATAATAATAATAGTAACAATAATAATAGTAATAATATAATAATAATAGTAATAGTAATAATAGTAACAATAATAATAATAATAATAATAGTAACAATAATAATAGTAATAATCATCATCTGCGTGAAAATTAAACGTAAATCTAATTAAATTGCTCATACTAAATTATTTAAGTATGAATTATTATTTTGTTTTCCAGAAAATATAAATAAAAACATATTTAGTAATTAAGTATACCCAATCCAAACAGGAGAAACTCTGTAATCAGTTTTATTTGTTTACATTCATATTCTTGTTTTTGTTTATTTATTTGTGTTTGTCTGTAGGAGCCGGACCAGATGGAGTTCAGGAGATCAAAAGGCACTGTTTCTTCAGCACCATCGACTGGAACGTAAGTTTTTACCATACATTAGTAAATAATGGTATTTGTTTGTGTTTTTATTCTGATTCTGGTGACGTTTAGAGTATTTCTGGTGTTTGTAGAAACTTTTCCGCCGAGAGCTTCATCCTCCTTTCCAGCCGGCTGCAGGACGACCTGACGACACCTTCTACTTTGATCCAGAGTTCACAGCTAAAACCCCCCGAGGTGCATCTTCTCCTCCTCACCTCCTCCTCCTCCTCCTGCTGCTCCTGCTGGGAGCTGAGCTCCCTTCTAACGGCTGACATCATTAACGGCTCTAACTTTGTCTCAGACTCACCAGGAGTTCCTCCGAGTGCCAACGCCCACCAGCTGTTCAGAGGATTCAGCTTTGTGGCCATAACGGAGGAGGAGACACAACCTGTACCCAATAGCATCGTACAGGTACACACACACACACACACACACACACACACACACGCACACGCACTATCCTCTTAAATGTGTGTGTGTTCCTGCAGCAGCTACACAGAAGCACGTCTCAGTTTTCAGACACCTATGACCTCAAAGAGGACATCGGCGTCGGGTCCTACTCCCTCTGCAAGCGCTGTGAGCACAGAGGGACGGGCATGGAATACGCCGTCAAGGTAACCATGGCAACAGCACAGGATGTGATTCGGGCTTTAGAGGAAACATCCCAGAAGTCTTTAACTGATTTATGAAGCAGGAACTTTGTTCTAATTCTTGTCTTTTGTTTCCAGATCATCAACAAGACCAAGAGGGACCCGACGGAGGAGGTGGAGATCCTGCTGAGATACGGACAGCATCCTAACATCATCACCCTGAAGGACGTGAGTCACGACCTTCATCGTTCATAGAAATCACTCCTTCTGCTTCGACCGGTGGAACCATGTTCCAGTAGCTGGTTCCGTGATGAACACATGAATAACTCAGCCGGTTAGAGGCAGAGCTGGCTGGTCCAGTTAGGGAGACGAGGTCTTGTGTGGAGGTTTCATCATGACGGATAACGGATGGATGATAGATGAATGGATGATAGATGAATGGATGATGGATGAATGGATGATAGATGAATGGATGATAGATGAATGGATGATGGATGAATGGATGATAGACGAATGGATGATGGATGTAGCGCAGCCTCTGGTTCTAACTACTTCAGGTTCTCCTCCATCATCATGATCTGATCTTTATTTCTGGCCGTTGATCCTGATCAGTTTCCGACCCAGACCCTGAGCTGGTTCTACTTCCTGTTTCAGGTGTACGACGACGGCCGCTCGGTGTTCCTGGTGACGGAGCTGATGAAAGGAGGCGAGCTGCTGGATAAGATCCTCAGACAGAAGTTTTTCTCAGAGCGGGAGGCCAGCGCCGTGCTCTTCACCATCACCAAGACTGTGGAGTATCTGCACAAGAACGGGGTTCGTTCCTCTGGATGTTCTTGGAGAACCTTGAGAGTCAGAGCGAGTCTAGCTCAAAGCAGTGGGACCTTTCTTCTTCTGTGGTGTTTACAGGTGGTGCATCGTGACCTGAAGCCCAGTAACATCCTGTATGTAGACGAGAGTGGGAACGCTGAGTCCATCCGGATCTGTGACTTCGGCTTTGCCAAGCAGCTGAGAGCCGACAACGGCCTGCTGATGACGCCGTGTTACACCGCCAACTTTGTGGCTCCAGAGGTCGGTCGATGTGGCGGTCCGATGAACGCCACGTAAACAGGAAGTGATACTGTTGTTTCCCCTGATGATGGTTTCTGTTGATCCTGGCAGGTTCTAAAGAAGCAGGGATACGACACGGCGTGCGACATCTGGAGTCTGGGAGTTCTGCTCTACACCATGCTAACGGGGTGAGTTCTACACGCCTACACGGGTTCTCCAAACGTCTGATGGATCCAGACATGAAGTCTTTCTTATTCTCGTCTCCAGTTTCACTCCGTTTGCCAACGGTCCCGAGGACACTCCGGAGGAGATTCTGGCTCGGATCGGCAGCGGGAAGTTCAGCCTGTCTGGTGGATATTGGACATCTGTTTCTGCCGAAGCTAAGGTCAGTACCGACCCGACCCGTTTTCCTGGTCCAGACAGGAAGCTGGAGGTTAACTGAAAGTGTTTGTTGTCACCAGGATCTGGTCTCCAAGATGCTCCATGTGGATCCTCATCAGAGGCTGACGGCTACTCAGGTCCTCAGACACCCCTGGGTCACCCGCCGGGACCAGCTGCCCAAGTTCACCCTGAACCGACAGGACGCCCCGCAGAAGGTCAAGGTAAGCATCCGACCAGCATCCGACCAGCATCTGACCAGCATCCAAACAAACATTCAAACATCCGACCAGCATCCAACCACCCAACCAGCATCAAACAAACATCCAGCCAGCATCCAACCACCTAACCAGCATCAAACAAACATCCAACCAGCATCCAACCACCTAACCAGCATCAAACAAACATGCAACCAGCATCCAACCACTTAACCAGCATCAAACAAACATCCAGCCAGCATCCAACCACCTAACCAGCATCAAACAAACATCCAGCCAGCATCCAACCACCTAACCAGCATCAAACAAACATGCAACCAGCATCCAAACATCCAACCAGCATCCAAACATCCAACCAGCATCCAACCACTTAACCAGCATCAAACAAACATCCAGCCAGCATCCAGCCACTTAACCAGCATCAAACAAACATCCAGCCAGCATCCAACCACCTAACCAGCATCAAACAAACATGCAACCAGCATCCAACCACTTAACCAGCATCAAACAAACATCCAGCCAGCATCCAACCACCTAACCAGCATCAAACAAACATGCAACCAGCATCCAAACATCCAACCAGCATCCAAACATCCAACCAGCATCCAACCACTTAACCAGCATCAAACAAACATCCAGCCAGCATCCAACCACCTAACCAGCATCAAACAAACATGCAACCAGCATCCAAACATCCAACCAGCATCCAAACATCCAACCAGCATCCAACCACTTAACCAGCATCAAACAAACATCCAGCCAGCATCCAGCCACTTAACCAGCATCAAACAAACATCCAGCCAGCATCCAGCCACTTAACCAGCATCAAACAAACATCCAGCCAGCATCCAACCACCCAACCAGCATCAAACAAACATCCAACCAGCATCCAACCACTTAACCAGCATCAAACAAACATCCAGCCAGCATCCAGCCACTTAACCAGCATCAAACAAACATCCAGCCAGCATCCAACCACCTAACCAGCATCAAACAAACATGCAACCAGCATCCAAACATCCAACCAGCATCCAAACATCCAACCAGCATCCAACCACCTAACCAGCATCAAACAAACATGCAACCAGCATCCAACCACCTAACCAGCATCAAACAAACATGCAACCAGCATCCAACCACCTAACCAGCATCAAACAAACATGCAACCAGCATCCAAACATCCAACCAGCATCCAAACATCCAACCAGCATCCAACCACCTAACCAGCATCAAACAAACATGCAACCAGCATCCAAACATCCAACCAGCATCCAAACATCCAACCAGCATCCAACCACCTAACCAGCATCAAACTAACATGCAACCAGCATCCAAACATCCAACCAGCATCCAACCACCTAACCAGCATCAAACTAACATGCAACCAGCATCCAAACATCCGACCAGCATCAAACAAACATGCAACCAGCATCCAACCACCTAATCAGCATCAAACAAACATCCAGCCAGCATCCAACCACCTAACCAGCATCAAACTAACATGCAACCAGCATCCAGCCACTTAACCAGCATCAAACTAACATGCAACCAGCATCCAAACATCCAACCAGCATCCAGCCACTTAACCAGCATCAAACTAACATGCAACCAGCATCCAAACATCCAACCAGCATCCAACCACCTAACCAGCATCAAACTAACATGCAACCAGCATCCAAACATCCGACCAGCATCAAACAAACATGCAACCAGCATCCAACCACCTAACCAGCATCAAACAAACATCCAGCCAGCATCCAGCCACTTAACCAGCATCAAACAAACATGCAACCTGCATTCAAACATCCAACCAGCATCCAACCACCTAACCAGCATCAAACTAACATGCAACCAGCATCCAAACATCCGACCAGCATCAAACAAACATGCAACCAGCATCCAACCACCTAATCAGCATCAAACAAACATCCAGCCAGCATCCAACCACCTAACCAGCATCAAACAAACATGCAACCAGCATCCAACCACCTAACCAGCATCAAACAAACATGCAACCAGCATCCAACCACCTAACCAGCATCAAACAAACATGCAACCAGCATCCAAACATCCAACCAGCATCCAAACATCCAACCAGCATCCAACCACCTAACCAGCATCAAACTAACATGCAACCAGCATCCAAACATCCAACCAGCATCCAACCACCTAACCAGCATCAAACTAACATGCAACCAGCATCCAAACATCCGACCAGCATCAAACAAACATGCAACCAGCATCCAACCACCTAATCAGCATCAAACAAACATCCAGCCAGCATCCAACCACCTAACCAGCATCAAACAAACATCCAACCAGCATCCCACCACCTAACCAGCATCAAACAAACATGCAACCTGCATTCAAACATCCAACCAGCATCCAACCACCTAACCAGCATCAAACTAACATGCAACCAGCATCCAAACATCCAACCAGCATCCAACCACCTAACCAGCATCAAACTAACATGCAACCAGCATCCAAACATCCGACCAGCATCAAACAAACATGCAACCAGCATCCAACCACCTAATCAGCATCAAACAAACATCCAGCCAGCATCCAACCACCTAACCAGCATCAAACAAACATCCAACCAGCATTCAACCACCTAACCAGCATCAAACTAACATGCAACCTGCATTCAAACATCCAACCAGCATCCAAAAAAGCATCCAACCAGCATTCAACCACCTAACCAGCATCAAACAAACATCCAACCAGCATCCAACCACCTAACCAGCATCAAACTAACATGCAACCTGCATTCAAACATCCAACCAGCATTCAACCACCTAACCAGCATCAAACTAACATGCAACCTGCATTCAAACATCCAACCAGCATCCAAAAAAGCATCCAACCAGCATTCAACCACCTAACCAGCATCAAACAAACATCCAACCAGCATCCAACCACCTAACCAGCATCAAACTAACATGCAACCTGCATTCAAACATCCAACCAGCATCCAACCACCTAACCAGCATCAAACAAACATGCAACCTGCATTCAAACATCCAACCAGCATCCAACCACCTAACCAGCATCAAACTAACATGCAACCAGCATCCAAACATCCGACCAGCATCAAACAAACATGCAACCAGCATCCAACCACCTAATCAGCATCAAACAAACATCCAGCCAGCATCCAACCACCTAACCAGCATCAAACAAACATGCAACCAGCATCCAACCACCTAACCAGCATCAAACAAACATGCAACCAGCATCCAACCACCTAACCAGCATCAAACAAACATGCAACCAGCATCCAAACATCCAACCAGCATCCAAACATCCAACCAGCATCCAACCACCTAACCAGCATCAAACTAACATGCAACCAGCATCCAAACATGCAACCAGCATCCAACCACCTAACCAGCATCAAACTAACATGCAACCAGCATCCAAACATCCAACCAGCATCCAAACATCCAACCAGCATCCAACCACCTAACCAGCATCAAACTAACATGCAACCAGCATCCAAACATCCAACCAGCATCCAACCACCTAACCAGCATCAAACTAACATGCAACCAGCATCCAAACATCCAACCAGCATCCAACCACCTAACCAGCATCAAACAAACATGCAACCAGCATCCAACCACCTAATCAGCATCAAACAAACATCCAGCCAGCATCCAACCACCTAACCAGCATCAAACAAACATCCAACCAGCATCCCACCACCTAACCAGCATCAAACAAACATGCAACCTGCATTCAAACATCCAACCAGCATCCAACCACCTAACCAGCATCAAACTAACATGCAACCAGCATCCAAACATCCAACCAGCATCCAACCACCTAACCAGCATCAAACTAACATGCAACCAGCATCCAAACATCCGACCAGCATCAAACAAACATGCAACCAGCATCCAACCACCTAATCAGCATCAAACAAACATCCAGCCAGCATCCAACCACCTAACCAGCATCAAACAAACATCCAACCAGCATTCAACCACCTAACCAGCATCAAACTAACATGCAACCTGCATTCAAACATCCAACCAGCATCCAAAAAAGCATCCAACCAGCATTCAACCACCTAACCAGCATCAAACAAACATCCAACCAGCATCCAACCACCTAACCAGCATCAAACTAACATGCAACCTGCATTCAAACATCCAACCAGCATTCAACCACCTAACCAGCATCAAACTAACATGCAACCTGCATTCAAACATCCAACCAGCATCCAAAAAAGCATCCAACCAGCATTCAACCACCTAACCAGCATCAAACAAACATCCAACCAGCATCCAACCACCTAACCAGCATCAAACTAACATGCAACCTGCATTCAAACATCCAACCAGCATCCAACCACCTAACCAGCATCAAACTAACATGCAACCTGCATTCAAACATCCAACCAGCATCCAAAAAAGCATCCAACCAGCATTCAACCACCTAACCAGCATCAAACAAACATCCAACCAGCATCCAACCACCTAACCAGCATCAAACTAACATGCAACCTGCATTCAAACATCCAACCAGCATTCAACCACCTAACCAGCATCAAACTAACATCCAACCAGCATCCAACCACCTAACCAGCATCAAACTAACATGCAACCTGCATTCAAACATCCAACCAGCATCCAACCACCTAACCAGCATCAAACAAACATCCAACCAGCATCCAACCACCTAACCAGCATCAAACAAACATCCAACCAGCATCCAACCACCTAACCAGCATCAAACAAACATCCAGCCAGCATCCAAACATCCAACCAGCATCCAAACATCCAACCAGCATCCAACCACCTAACCAGCATCAAACTAACATGCAACCAGCATCCAAACATCCGACCAGCATCAAACAAACATGCAACCAGCATCCAACCACCTAACCAGCATCAAACAAACATCCAGCCAGCATCCAACCACCTAACCAGCATCAAACTAACATGCAACCTGCATTCAAACATCCAACCAGCATTCAACCACCTAACCAGCATCAAACTAACATCCAACCAGCATCCAAACATCCGACCAGCATCAAACAAACATGCAACCAGCATCCAACCACCTAACCAGCATCAAACAAACATCCAGCCAGCATCCAACCACCTAACCAGCATCAAACTAACATGCAACCTGCATTCAAACATCCAGCCAGCATCCAGCCACTTAACCAGCATCAAACTAACATGCAACCTGCATTCAAACATCCAACCAGCATTCAACCACCTAACCAGCATCAAACAAACATCCAACCAGCATCCAACCACCTAACCAGCATCAAACAAACATCCAACCAGCATCCAACCACCTAACCAGCATCAAACAAACATCCAGCCAGCATCCAAACATCCAACCAGCATCCAAACATCCAACCAGCATCCAAACATCCAACCAGCATCCAACCACCTAACCAGCATCAAACTAACATGCAACCAGCATCCAAACATCCGACCAGCATCAAACAAACATGCAACCAGCATCCAACCACCTAACCAGCATCAAACAAACATCCAGCCAGCATCCAACCACCTAACCAGCATCAAACTAACATGCAACCTGCATTCAAACATCCAACCAGCATTCAACCACCTAACCAGCATCAAACTAACATGCAACCAGCATCCAAACATCCGACCAGCATCAAACAAACATGCAACCAGCATCCAAACATCCGACCAGCATCAAACAAACATGCAACCAGCATCCAACCACCTAACCAGCATCAAACAAACATCCAGCCAGCATCCAACCACCTAACCAGCATCAAACTAACATGCAACCTGCATTCAAACATCCAGCCAGCATCCAGCCACTTAACCAGCATCAAACTAACATGCAACCTGCATTCAAACATCCAACCAGCATTCAACCACCTAACCAGCATCAAACAAACATCCAACCAGCATCCAACCACCTAACCAGCATCAAACAAACATCCAACCAGCATCCAACCACCTAACCAGCATCAAACAAACATCCAGCCAGCATCCAAACATCCAACCAGCATCCAAACATCCAACCAGCATCCAAACATCCAACCAGCATCCAAACATCCAACCAGCATCCAACCACCTAACCAGCATCAAACTAACATGCAACCAGCATCCAAACATCCGACCAGCATCAAACAAACATGCAACCAGCATCCAACCACCTAACCAGCATCAAACAAACATCCAGCCAGCATCCAACCACCTAACCAGCATCAAACTAACATGCAACCTGCATTCAAACATCCAACCAGCATTCAACCACCTAACCAGCATCAAACTAACATGCAACCAGCATCCAAACATCCGACCAGCATCAAACAAACATGCAACCAGCATCCAACCACCTAACCAGCATCAAACAAACATCCAGCCAGCATCCAACCACCTAACCAGCATCAAACTAACATGCAACCTGCATTCAAACATCCAGCCAGCATTCAACCACCTAACCAGCATCAAACTAACATCCAACCAGCATCCAACCACCTAACCAGCATCAAACTAACATGCAACCTGCATTCAAACATCCAACCAGCATCCAACCACCTAACCAGCATCAAACTAACATGCAACCTGCATCCAACCACCTAACCAGCATCAAACAAACATCCAACCTGCATCCAAACATCCAACCAGCATCCAAAAAAGCATCCAACCAGCATTCAAACATCCAACCAGCATCCAACCACCTAACCAGCATCAAACTAACATGCAACCTGCATCCAACCACCTAACCAGCATCAAACAAACATCCAACCTGCATCCAAACATCCAACCAGCATCCAAAAAAGCATCCAACCAGCATTCAAACATCCAACCAGCATCCAACCACCTAACCAGCATCAAACTAACATGCAACCAGTATCCAAACATCCGACCAGCATCCAACCAGCATCCAAACAAACATCCAACCAGCACCCAACCATTAGCCATGGCAGATGAGTTGGGTGCCCGTCTCATAACCGGAGGGTTGTCGGGTCGAGTCCTGCTCAGTCTGTCGCAGTCGTTACACTTCACCGTTCTAACCTGCTAGTGGTGGTCAGAGGGACCGGTGGCATGATGGCAGCCTCGGCTCTATCACTGCGTCCCAGGGCCGTTGTGGCTACGGTGTGTGTGTGTGAGTGTGAGTGTTCTTGTACATACTACATACTGAGGACCATTTTGACCATTTTCCCTACAAAGTGAGGACATTTTTTTGGTCCTAACTGTTTTTTAGAAGCTTACTATACCAGATGCAGGTCTGATGTTAATTAAGTTCATTAGGGTTAGGGTATGGGTTAGGCACGGTGGAGTCACTAACATTAATAGAAGTCAATGGAGGGTCCTCACTATGATAAGGCAGACGTGTATGTGTGCATGTGTGTGTGTGCGTGCATGTGTGTGTGTGCATGTGTGTGTGTGTGCATGTGTGTGTGCGTGCATGTGTGTGTGTGTGTGTGTGTGTGTGTGGGAGCGTGCGCTTTTGTGTGTGTTTGTCCGTGTGTGTGTGTGTGTGCGCTCGTATGTGTGTGTGTTTGTTCATGTGCGTGTGTGGGAGCTTGTGTGTGTTGTAGAGTAGTAATTATTGTATGTATTTGGGTGCTTTTAAAACTTAATATACTACCCTACACTTTGGCCAATGTGATGTGAATTTAGTCATGTGACTGTGTGATGTAATCATCTCAGAAGCATAAATGTGTGTTGTGTTTACTCGATAACGTAAAATCAGCTTTAATAATTTTCATTCTATACATAATCTGCTGATTTTAGAGGCATTAATGTCAGTATATCGGTACCAGCAGTGATATTAATGTTGGATATCGGTATCGGCCCAAAACTTTCATATTGGTGCATCTCTACTCATAATGAATAACCTGTCCTCTCCCTTCTACTCCAGGGGGCGATGGCGGCCACCTACTCGGCCCTGAACAGGAACATCTCCCCGGTTCTGGAGCCGGTCGGCCGATCCACTCTGGCCCAGCGGAGGGGGGTGAAGAAGATCACCTCCACCGCTCTGTGACCTCCTCCTCTTCCTCCTTCTTTTAACCTCAATCTGACCCCCCCACCCTGCTTTGGTCTGGTCGGGTGGAACAGACTACTGATGGATCTGGGAGCTGCTAACGCCAAATAGGAGCACCCCTGCCCTTCTGGCCCCGCCCTGCCCCTTAACGAGCTCTTCCGATTGGACCTCTTGTGTCTTACTGTTGATTCTCAGCTTTAGCGTCGCTGATCGGCTGTTGGACCGCAACAAAACCTGTTGACTCATTTCTGCTTTGGACAATCAGCACTGCCTCGCCGACCTGGAGAGGGAACGCATCGGGAAGATTTAAGTATTTATGAACCTCAGACAGGAAGTCACAGGAACAAGGAGACCTGAGGGATGAATTTAAAGAGCCAGGATCGTCGTTTTCACGGTTCTGCGTAGCTGAAAATCTAAACCTCAAGTCGCCTGTGAGACGACAGCGTTGACCAGAAACACCTCAAGGCAGAAATCCCAGAGGAGCGGCATCGGCCTCCACGGGTTTGGTGTCCAGAGGGAAGGAAAGCCTCTCAGGAGTTTAGGCTTCGAGCCGTTGAATGTTTTTATCAGTCAGGAGCTACAGAACAAACGGTCTGTCGCCCAAGTATTTACTTTCAAATTCATTTAGACATAAAATCTGAAAATATTAGTTCGGTCTTTATTATAGTGTAATTGCTGCCCCCTAGTGACCACAGCAGTGATCACAGCTAAAGCAGAAAAGTTTGGTTTTAAAATGTTTCGTTTTAGGAGAATTTAAACTTTACTTTTTATATTTTAATTATGAATAATTAACTTTTTAATCTGATAAGAAAATCTAAATCAGTGCTCAGCCTGTTCCTGGAAACCTTTACAACTATTTTATCTACATATTGTCTTCGCAGTGTGAATTTAGTAGTTTTTGTCATAAATTATCCTAAAATTACTCACTTTTGATGCTAAAATTACCAAAAATGTTATTATAACAAACTAAAATCAGAAAACTTTTGTTTACTAAAAAAAATTCCTTATTTTGTGGAGATGCAAAAAAAAATCAGCTGTAGTTTGGAACATGATCGATTCAGTCCGTGGTGGACTAATCTGAAATGATGAAAAAAACCATAATTATATATAAAACATGAATAAATTGGTCGATCAAATCGGTTTAGGAATCAGAAATCGGTATCGGCCCTCCAAACCAGCATCGGTGCTGCTTTAGCTGAACAGGAATCAGCCGGAGCATCACTGATTTAAATGACCTTTAACCTTCTGATGTTACTGTTAGTAACTGAGGATCAGCTCCAGGATGGACTTCCTATTGGACGTTCTGATGTTCTAAGTGCTCCAAGAGCTTCCTGCTTCCCCTGAACTCAGATTTCAGCTCCTGGTGTTTCTGGACGAGCCGCCGATCGCCTCCTAACTAACGTGCAGCAGAACTGAAACACGAACACGTTGGACATCTCAGGTTTCTACCAATCAGGACGATGCATTTTTCTACGTCAGGGAGGAGACATGTGAAAACGGGACGTGACGAGGCGTTCATCTGAGGACTTCCTTCCAAAACGCCCTGAGTCGTTTTTATTTTCTTTGTTTAAAGTCTTAAAAACCTGTTTTTGTTTCCGCGAGGATCCATGTGCAGGCCTGACGCTAGCAAACCCTTTAAACGCCTCAGAAAAAACACATAAATCTCACTTCAGCTCCTGGAAATCATCCAGAAGCTCACGAAGGTCCAGGAGCTCCAGGAACTCCTGCAGAAGCACAACTGGATTAAGATTAGGGCGGATTATTAATCATCACGTATACGATATTAATGCAACAGCAGAGGAAAACAAACTTCAGCTTTAAAACAGAAGATCTTTGTGTTCAGGAACCTTTTCTAGATCCAGAAGTTCTTCAGCGTTTCTGGTTAATCCTAATCCAGCTGCATCCCCTCTGACATCTGCATGTTTGAGCTTCTGCTGCAGACAAAGTTTATTATTATTATAAGTGATGAAAGTCATGAACTGTAATAATCAGATCGGGCATCAGATTTTAGGTCTGAAGACAAAAGTCTCGTTTTTAAATAGGAAACTTTTCATTTTATTCAGATTTCTTAGAATGTTTAAAATTTCTGAAGTTATGAAAAAAGTTTAAAGGAGAAAAATGTAAAAGTTCATCTTTATTTTAATATTTTTATAATCCAACTTTTTTCTCAGTTTGACCCATTTTCAGTTTTTTTATAAAATAATTTCAGACATTTTTCTTGTTTAAGATCTTTGCTGTCGGTCAGAAGTTTGACAGAAATGAGTCGTTATCCTGGTGAAAGGCCTCAGATGGTTTATTTTTGTTGTTAATCTATAAAATTCTTCCTCTTTCTGCTCGTCTGAATGTCAAAAAGGGAAAAGACGGATTGTCTTTATGTTTTTTTATCATTCTGGAATATGTGTGGATGTTTTCTGGGCTGCTGTCGGTGTACGGCTCTGGGACAAAGACTGCGATGGTGAACACATGACTAGTTCTTCCTGTCTGGTTGCAGCCTCGCTGCTGCACCGGCGCTTTGTTTCACACCTGCAGAGTTCCACTTTCTATTCAAAACAATAAAACACAACAAACAAACGCCGTTGCTTATCTGTGCCTCAGGAAGAGCGGGTTTCCTTTAAAACTCATTTAGATAATTAAATGGAAATAAAATGTTTTTACATAAAATAAATCAAATTTAAAGAGCAAGTCACCCCCTACCAGAGTCTAACTCCACTCCCACTTCATGTTTGAAAAATGCAACAAATGCTGTTGCCTGGCAGACCGAGAGGGCGGAGCTGCTAACAAATACACACACACACAGGCTCACAACAGCATTGTGACATCATAATGTACCACTTTACATCATATCATACCTCTTAGCCAATAGCGGTGGCAGATTAAAATACAGTGCAGAGTTTTTACCTGACAACGGCACAACACTGCCAGTTTTAGGCAGAATATTTAAATTTTAACTAAGATGCACTAAAGTGCCAAATTATTGACGACACGTGTCTGCAGCACGATTAGACACTCGTTTATTTAGTTTATCTGCAAAAAAAAGTTTATTTGGGGGTGACTTACTCTTTAAGGTTAACTCGTCGTTAGATAAACATAATAAACGGAAATGGGTTCATTTAGTAGATTTTAACAGATTTTATTATAATTTTCCAGATTCTGGTTCGGACTTGGAACAGTTTAATGTTGTTTAGGGCGACGGTGGCACCGGAGTTCAGAGCTCGCCCCGTAATCGGAAGGTTGCAGGTTTGAGCCCCGCTCAGTCTGTCGCTGCTGTTGTGTCCTTGGGCAAGACACTTAAAGAAAGGCCCAAAACCAAATTTGTCAAGAGACTGAAAAATGAAATTATGCTCAATGGTATCAAAGGCTTAGTAAAAGTCTAAAAATAAAATGAAACTGTTGTCTTGAACAAGCTCAGGGTAATCTAGGAGGTCTAAAACAAGCCCGATATTATTGGTGGTATGTCTGTTCTTCATAAAGCCTGACTGTGTCATCAACGACTGAGTGTAGAGTTGATTTTAACCTTTTAGCAAAAGTGACAGCAAGGATTTTATAATCATTATTGAAGACAGATAGGGCGCCAATTATCAATGAGCAATGGATCTTGTTTAGGTTTAGTTATTAATATCGTTAGACCTTGAGTCAAGGTGGGTGGAAGGACACCTCCGGATACTTTCATTGAAAACCTCTAATAGAAAAGGGGCTAAATCTTGGGAAAATGTTTTGCAGAATTCTGTTATTAAACCATCAACCCCGGGCGATTTTAGTTTTTAGACAATTTATTGCATCTAAAATTTCTTGTATTGTAATTGAATTTTCACAAATTTGTTGTTCAGTTTGAGAAATAGTGTTAGCAGTCAAAGAGCTTAGACAGGAATCAGTAGATGATATGTTTGGATTGGAGGAATATAACTTTTCATAAAAGGAGCTACAGAATTGGGACATTAATCTATGATCCTCTGTGATTGTATTATTGATTTTTAGCGTGCCAAGTGTGTTGTTTGTGGCCTTGCTCTTTTCTAAATTAAAGAAATAATGAGAATTTTTTCTCCTTCCTCGATCTGACAAAGGCACCTTTACTCTTCTGGGTATAGATATTATCTAGTTTAAGTTGTAATTCAGCTAACTCTTGCTGTTCTTCGCTAGTCAGTAGAGAGGGGATAATCTGAGAGAGATTTGAAATACCCAGTATAATACTTGCTTCCTCGGCATTAGATGATTTTGCTCGGGCACAGCCAAATTTCCTCAGAAACTTACCACATTCAAACTTGAAAAGTTCCCAGTTAGATCCACAACTATTTTCATCTTTAGCTTTTGACCAGAATGTATGAATTAACTCAGAAATCTTTACCTTAACCTCTTCATGTTGTAGTAATTGGCAGTTCAATTTCCAATAAGTGCGTATGGAGTTGGAGTTTTTATAATCTGACAGATTGATGGTTATCTGAACGGCTTTGTGATCGGTGAGAGGAGTAGGGGATATCTTAATATTGACACAATCTTTATTTATAGTTTTAGAGATCAACCAGAAATCTAATCTAGATTGTTTTGAACCAGTTTTGTTAGACCAGGTAAACACACTGGTGTCATCATTCTTAACCCTCCAAATGTCAACTAAATTAAATTTTTCCATGAAAGAGAAAACAATGGAGCTGGAATCATTTGGTTTCCCTGGTGGCCATTTGTCAGTTTGTCCATTCATAACAATGTTAACATCACCTCCCAAACAAATTAGAGCATGTGGAAAGTTTTAAACCACGTTGTAACTATCTTTTCAAGAGAGCAAAATAAACTTATGTTATCCTTTCAGTTATTATAACCATATACATTTGCACAGAAAAAAAATGTCTATGTTCCACCTCAATCATCTGACATGTATAGTGACCAAAGGGGTCACTTTCCGTTAAAAGAATCTCTCCATTAAATCTGTTTTTTAGAGTTGCAACTCCTGCAGAATGTACAGACCCATGTGAAAACCAAATAGTATTACCCCCATTGTGTTTTCCAAAAACTAGCATCCTCTACTGTAGAATGACTTTCCTGAAAAAAAAGACAAAAATCTGATCTGGTCATTTTAGCAAATAAAAATAAAGCTTTTCTTTTAGTTATATTGCGTAACCCCCTGGCATTTAGAGAAAATCAAGATAACATAACAACAACAACAAAGAACGCTAACAATAAAGTTCAAATATTATTGAACAACCTGTGTTGAAAATTGTATAAAATGGAACCACCGTAACTGGTACCCAGCTAAACCAATAAGTAAACTGCAACACATTAACTTGACATTATGTTACCATACCCATATTAGCAGATGGCCAAAAAGCCACTCTTTGAATAGAAGAACCGAGTGATGCCAAAAGACGATTGTGAGGCTCTAATTCAGTGTTCCATTATGGCGCTCTGCGAGATTTCAGCACCGTCAACAAAGCCCCGGCCTCCGATGAAGTACGCCGCTTTTCCTTCTTCTCAAGCTTTCCGGATGGAGGGCCACAGTTTTTTTCGTGAGTCGCGGTCGACTTTACATAAGTCCTCCGAGACGTGCAAGTTATTCCTCTGCAAGAAGCTGCTGCCTTTGGCCGCTTCCCAGATGTCATCTCGGTGTCTTCTGGCAGTGAAGTGCAGGATGATGGCTCTTGGTCTGGGATCACCTGAGCGCTTCTTTCCAACGCGGTGTGCCACATCAATGAAGTCGGGAATCTTCTCTTTCTCCTGGGGCAAAATCTCTTGGCAAACACGTATTATTTCCTGTCGACAGTTTTCTCTGTCAGATTTGGCAACACCGTGGAGTTTTAAATTCCACCGCCGCCCGTAACGCTCAAGTTCTGCTACTCGGTCCATGCACACAGCAATGTTTTTTTCATTTGAGACAACTCTTTTCTCAACGCAGCCTATCTTATTCTTTATCTCAACTATTTCTTCATGCACACTTTCCACTTTTTTCTCTAGCAGATCATTTCTGGAATTTATCAAGTTAGCAAGAAGAAGAAGAAGAAAATATCATTTCTATAGCGCCTCTCAAGATAAAAATCACGAGGTGCTTCACAAAAACAAAAACTAAAAAAATGTAAAAATATAAAAAAGCATTTAGAAAATGTTTAAAATGTATTTAAAATGAGCAAGAATAAGCAATTGCGATTTAAAAGAAAAAATGTTAAAGAGAGAGAGTGAACAGGAAAGAGGGAAATCAGTGGATCCTGAGGAAGGTGGAATAGGTGGGGAGAGCAGAATAAAGAGAGAGAGGTGAAGAAGGTCGTACAAAAGCCAGCTTGAACAAGTGAGTCTTCAGCTGCTTTTTAAAGGAGACCACTGAGTCCACTGATCTCAGGCTCAGGGGGAGAGAGGTCCAGAGTCTGGGGGCCACAGCAGCAGATGATCTGTCACCTTTGACCTTTAGCCTGGTGCTGCACAACCAGTAGGCTTTGGTCACTGGACCTCAGGGACCTGCTGGGGGTGTAGGGACTAAGAAGATCACCAATGTAAGATGGTGCTTGTCCATGTAAGGCCCTATAGACCAGAACCAGGATCTTGAAATGAACCCTGAAGTTGACTGGCAGCCAGTGAAGCTGGAGGAGAAGCGGGGTGATGTGGGTGTGTTTGGAGGACTTGGTCAGAAGCCGAGCACAGGCGTTCTGAACCACCTGTAGACGGTTCAGGGAGGTTCTGCTCAGACACGTGAAAAGAGAGTTACAGTAGTCTAAGCGTGAGGAGATGAAGGTGTGGAGAACTGTCTCAAGTTCAGAGCGGGACAGAATGGGACTCAGCTTAGCAACGTTCCTGAGATGGAAGAAGGAAGAGCCAACAAGAGAACTGACATGAGAATCCAGGGTGAGAGCTGGGTCAAAGGTCACGCCAAGATTCCTGACAGAAGGTTTGGTGTGGGAAGCAAGCTGACCAAGAGAGTCTCTGACTTTGGGAACCAGCTTGTCTGGGGCACAGATGAGGATCTCAGTCTTACCTTCATTCAGCTGAAGAAAGCTCCCACCATCCAGGTTTTGATAGAGTCTAAGCAGGTGTGTAACAGCTGCAGCTTAGACATCTCATGGGGCTTAAAGGAGATGTACAGTTGGATGTCATCTGCATAAAGATGGTAGGAGATTCCTTTGAAGGAGCTCAGGATGTGCTGAAGAGGAAGCAGATAGAGGAGGAAGAGCAGAGGCCCCAGCACAGAACCTTGTGGGACACCATGGGTAAGAGAGGTGGTGGAGGACCTAAACTTGGAGACGGCCACAGAAAAGGAGCGCTCAGAGAGATAAGAGGAGAACCACTCCAGAGCAGTTCCTGATAGGCCTACCCAGTCTCTCAGCCTCTCCAGTAGCAGGTGATGGTCAACAGTGTCAGGCATCGAAGCGGCATCTTCAGAAATTAGGGAATTGTTGAGCGGGGAATTACCGACAGCTGGTTTCTTTGCAATTGGGGGTTTGCTCGGTGTAACCGGGAGAGGAGGGAATTCGTCTTCATCCACTACTTGAGAGTTGCCGGCCATTGTACCGCCATAGTTATGTTCGTTGTTGTTAGCTGCCAAGCTAACTTCATCTCGTTGCCATAGCTGCCTCTTTTAAGAGCTGATTTAGGCATGG